AGGTCTCTATCATGGCTGCTGAGGATGGGTCCGGTGTTGGCGCTGCCCTGATTGCTGCTTTGACGCTGAAGCGTGTTAAGGCAGGTAACCTGGCCGGTATCCGTAACATGGATGATATGAAGACTCTGGTGTAGGTGGATAGATACATGGGGAGAATATTTTGATCTTTTTAAATTGGTGTGGGTTGTTTACCTCCAAAACTGGGTGGGAATTGGATTGGTGATGGGATTTATGATTTTCGTTTGTCTGCATGTTGTTGACCTTGCTGGTTTGGTCAATAAACTGGCGTGTTTTTTCTGGTAGTATATACCAATGAAATTGTTCTACATATTCTTTTCCTCCCATCTGTCGATATCCTAAATCGATGAAATGCAAAATTGTATATGTATGATATGCATGGTAGTAGGTACATCTACATGACAACTCTCAGCCTAATAGACAAAAGCAACTGATCAACCCCGAATCTCCCACATCCGAATCTTCCCCTGCTCATTAGCCACAGCTAACTGCTCCGAGTTTGGAGAGATGGCCACGGAGGAGATGCGGCCTAGCGGCGTGTTGGAGGTCGGCCAGTTGCGATACACCGTACATGACGGAAGGTGAACTATATAGTGTATACGTGGTTAGCAGAGTGATCCTCAGAAAGAAATATAAAAAATAAGAACATACCAAGTCGCAGAGCGTCCCGCTTCCATCGACTCGCCATAACCATCATCTGCCCGTCTGGCGCAAAGACCAGATGACTGATCGGAGTAGTGAGCTGATCCAAAGCGCGTACGGGATCTGGGTTGCGTGGGATCCCAGACTGCTTCTGCTGGTCATCTTTGTCCGAGGCAGCATATGCAGCAGCCCATTCGCGGCGGTCGTAGACGTTGACGATCCCGCTCGAACTGCCAATTGCCACCCACCGATCACCGCCGAGCTGTGTCCGGCCAGAGCGACCACCCAGGCTGAGCACAGTAGTGCCCACGGCACCGGCGTCCTGCCAGCGAGCCACAACCCGCCGCAGTCGGCCATCCCACTCGGATACCTCGCCGTTTTTGCTAGCAACCGTCAGACCCTCGCCGTCAGACCACCATGCAAAGTCCGCGACACCGCCGCGTCCATCGACGCGCACCTGGGCGATCCACTGTGCGGTCCCCGCGTCCAGGACGTTGATGAGACCGCCACCTTTGCGCGAGGTTCCAACCAGGCCGACGAACCGTCCGCAGGGGGATAGCTTGAATCGCTCCATGGATTTTTGCTCTTCTTTCCGGTCTGCCGAGCCATTGACTTTGTCGACTTTGCCCGAGTCCAGGTCCCAGATGTGGAAGTAACGCCGACGACCGGAGGCAAAGATCTTGTTTCCGGTAGGAGGTGCGAAGGCAGAGGTGTGGATCGGGGTGCGTTTGATATGCAGGGAGGTCAGGAGCGGGTTTGGTGCCGGTGCCTGTGGGGAGATGTGGTGCAGGAACAGGGTTGATGCAGGCCCGGAAGATAGCAAGAGGGGGTAGTGCGGGTGGAATGTCAGAGAGTCGATGGAGGACTAGATTTTCAAATTAGTTATAACTCAATTAAAAGCAAAAGAGGGGAGGGTTCTTACCGGCTGGGTCTTGCCCACATCTTTCAGGCGCTGGATATCAATAACCTCCTGGCGCAGCTTCCGCTTGCCGCCTGTGTGGGTATTGTCCTCGATCCGGGTGAGATCAGAGGCATTCCGGAGCAACTTAGCCAGAGGCTGCATGGACAACTGCTCCTCTTCCTCATCGTCGGTATCCATCTCCACCCCGCTGCCAGCGTCGGAATCATCTGAATCGGTCTTGCGACGCCTCGCCGCCAGCTCGGGATTCGCCCACTCAGGCATCGGGTGTAGACGCTCAAATTGTCTGCGCAGTCGCCGAACATATTCCCTGCCGCTAACAATATCCTCTGACTCCGTCACCCGCAATTTCCGCAGTCTGGACTGGCTCGCGAGCGAGACTGCGAGTCGCTCATCATCGCTGTCGTGCCACACAGCCGGAACAGTATCTTCTTCATCTGCTTCCTCTGCATCGGACAGTGTGTCGGGGGAGGGAATGATATCGGCGGAAACAGGTGCAGTGCCCGAGTCGAGGAAAAAGAGCTAAGATCAAAGTCAGGCATATGGAAAAAAATTCAAGGAATAAATGTCATGCAACGAACGTCTGCATCGGCCATGTCTTCCAGACCCCTCTCCTCTCCATCTTCCGCCTCTTCATCACTGTTTTCGCTCTCGTCATCGCTCTTCAAGGTGAGAGCCATGGCATCCGCCCGATCCTGCTGGCTCTTCAAGGCGCCCATGAAACCCTCGTCGTCGCCGAAGAGCATGCGCTCGAGCTTCCTCTCAGCTTCGTCCGCTTCAGGAATATCTGATTCATCCGAGCTGGTCTCATCGTCCATGTCAATGTCTTCGTCGGCGTGATGCTGCATGACGGTGGGTTCAAAGGGAGACCGAGTGGTCGTCCGCTTCGTTTTTGGCTTCGTCGCAGTTTTCAGCATGGTGACAGCTGCGTAGATTTTGACAGCAACAAGGCCTCCACAACGCAGAGTACTGTTGCGATTGTTGGTCCGTAGGCGGAATTCAGAATAATTTTCTTTGGAAATTTGCAAATGCGGCAGATGGAGGCGGTGTGGTAGGCGGTCTAGGCCAGATATAATATTGGACCTACTACTGTGGTCCATACTTATATAAGGAACGAGGTAAGTAGTGATTTAAAAGAAAGGAGATAAAAAGAAAAAAGAAAACTCAAACCTTCAAGAGCGGGACTTGAACCAGGGACCAAAAAAGGCCCAACCACGCTCAAGGTGATGTTACACACCTTGTGAGGCCAAGGTCCAGCAGCCCCAGCGTAGGAATATCTAGTTCCGTTCGCGTAGTTATTGCCAAACCCCCTGAGCCATCATGGTGACCGAGCAATAGGCTGCACCTTTTAATCAAATACAAGGGAGAAACGCCTTCCTCGGATGGCTGGATTACGCAAGCCCGAAACACCCATATACATGACACTCTTACAATGATGTCGGATATCTGGATCAGAAAAGAGAACAACAGTATTCACTGGACAATATCATATACACATTCCGGATTTCATCAGTTCGTTCCTACAGAAAAAGAAGAGTTTCCAAATACCCAAACACAACAAACACCCAAACACCCAAACGCTCATACCCCTAAATAGCTTTCAGTGATGATGTGTAGCGTCGGCTTCACCACTGTACTTGCGCTGGCTATCGCTCGAGTAGGGGAGCTCATACGGTGGAACAGGAGAATGGTCCTCGGTGAGCTGGCCCTCAGCCTCTTGGATCGCGGGCGGAGTCAGTTTCGGCTGTGAGGCTGTCTCAGCCGATTTCCTCGGCATCTCATCCCCCGAATCAGACGAATAGTCTTCGTCAATACCAGCGAGCAGAGCGCTTCGATGAGTATCATCCTCGATGGGATCCTGCTCATCGTCCTCGGCGTATATGTCGTAAGAAAGAGGCTTCTTGATGAAGATGTCGATGAGGTAATACTGGATGGCGTTCATGATCACCGGGAAAAGCAGCATCACGAAGAAAATCTGAACGCCCGTGTTTCCCTCTGTCCACCGCAAGGCCCAGTCGCCAACCTTGATGACCCACGGCACCAGCTGAATCAGGAAGAAGACGCAGATCTTCATGCCGAGCAGTCCCAGGAAGTAGATGATGGACTGCTTGAACCACCACCATGCGCGCGGCGGGTGGCCATAGTTCCCAGACTGGATGGACTCGGGAGGGTTGGCGAGAGGCGTGTAGGATGCGACGTAGTTGAGTACATGGAGAATCGCAATCAATATCACGATCCCAAGGGTGGTCTTCCCCCGTCAATCAATCAGTCATCGGTCCGCAAGAATAGAGATAAATACACTTACATCGATACCCAGATTTAGGAGATAGAACGAACAAGGGTTCGGTTTGAAGTGCGTCTGGAGCTCCAGCTGCCCCGCCGAGAACAGGGACATGAGCAGGTTGGCTAGATGAAGCATGGCCGAGCCAAAGACCTGCTTCGAGACATCAAATGCCCACACTTTAACCGGTCGCTGTGGCCGTTCTCTCCACCGCTTATACACCAGCGATAACAGCGCTAATGCACCGAGGGCAACCTGGACGAAGAGAGAGAATGGCCCGAGCAGCCTGCATTCTCCCTTTTCGTCTCCATCTTGTCCGGGGGACCCCTCTGAACCTGAGCCGTGCAGGAAGATCTTGTGGGGTTGGGACGAGGGTGATGAGGTGGTGGTGGCCGCGAGGAGGGTGGTTGTCGCGATGGCGGCTAGCGACGAGGCGGTTGCAGCCGCGTCCATCGTCGGGTTGAGATGGGGTACGCGACCTGGATGATTGGAAGGACCCGTAGTAGGTCAGGTCAGAGATGGGGTGAGCGACATGAACTTGGAGGTGAAAGGTCAACTGCTCGAGAATAATTAGTCAGTGGAGGGGAAAATGGATGGATCGATGCGGCGTGATGTTGCACTGGGGCGGTGTCGTCCCCGCAGGGCTGACTGAGCTAGGCAAAACGAAGTATAGAACAACACTTTTAAGGTTATTTATTATTCTAGGAGATGTGTAACTATTATTTATTATCTAGCAGACTCCCACTCCCTTCCCCCGAATTACATCTGCCGAAAGGGGCTACGTCCAGCTAGCAGGTAGATGGCGTATACATCGTATAGGGATGAGAGCATACGATCGGAGAGACTGACAGTAGAGCAAGTGGAGGGTCCATTGACCATCTCAATACTAGAATATCAATACTAGAATAGAAAAGGAGACAAGAACATGACAACAAAGGAAGGGCTGTCTCATCCGCTTCCTGAATCAAGACCAGATCCGTCGAACCCTCCACCCATCCAGAAGAACAAAACCCATGGGAATAATCAGAACGCCGCAAAACCCCTCAACCGACCCGGAGAACAGGAGAGCCGTTGTAACACCATGCGCAGCTAACATGCTAGCAGAGGGCATCATCAAAAAGCATGAAAAAGTTCGTGATGTCATTCTATCCCGTGCTGTTGTTTGAGCCGTTCCAGGTTTTCTTGTCTTTCCGCCAGGTCCTCTTTTGAACGTGCCATTTTCTCGGGCTGGTGGTACAATACTGCATGGAGTTAGAACCGACTCGAACTTTTCTCCCCTTATGCAATACATACCGACCAAGTATCTGTTCTGGAAATTGAAGCCGTTGAGCTTATCGCATGCCTGTTTGGCGTCGTGGACGTCTTCGTAGACAACAAATGCAGTGCCCTTGGAGTTGTTGGCAATACCCTGGCGGATTTGGCTGGAGAGAGTCAGACAGGGTAGATTCCATGATGATGGTGGCAAACGTACCGAATAGGCCCAAACTTGCCAAAGAGGTCGAACAGTTGGTCTGCGGTCACGTTGTAGCTGAAGGGGATATGTTAGCGGATTGCACGCAGTCGTAGATGGGATGCTGCCAGATCGTGTCCTTTTGAGGTTTGGTGGCTCGGAGCGAGTGAGGACGTACTTGAGGTTCTTAACGAAGAGAATCCTGTAGTGGGAAAGATACGGATGTCAGCGGGTTGATCAGCAGCACAACAGAGATGGGCTCTTCCTCAAATCCATCCCACCGCCGATGGTCTCCGGTCGATGATATGATCGCCAACGTCGGGAGGGGCATAGGGAAAGAAATCGGGAACGTACCGATTGGCTTCGGGGGCGAGCTTCCGGCTCATTCTCAGGGGAACAACAATACGCAGAGTGATGAAGAATGGGCGAGCAGAATAACTTGGATACCCAGGGTATCGGGGAGCGTGGTGTTGGGAGGACGAGTAGAGACGGAGGGGGAGGCGCACGACCAGGACAAGAAACGGGATTGCTGGTCCCGCCTGGGACTAGTGCTTAGTAAAGATGACCTTGGAACATTACCGTACTAAAACAGATAGCCACGTGACCTCCATGGCTGCGTCGAGCACTGACGATTGCGACGCAACTCGAAGACGGAGAACAGCACATTGAAGGCAGAGCAGAGCCCAGCAGAGCCAATGCGACATGCCAGAGTATCCTAGCAGGTTATAGTCGCTCTTCAATGAAAGGGGGGAGGGTACGGAGTTCCATCGTAGGTTCGGTGCCGCGTCCATACATACTTGCTGCGCCGCTACTCCCTCTCTCTCTCCTACCTACCTACCTGTTCTCCCTCGCATCCCTCCTCCCACCTCTTGCGAATCGCCCTTTCGCACTCGCTCTGGCCCATCGTCAGAGGCCGTCTGAATCTCTCGCCTGATTCTATTCGGCCTCTCTCCCTTCTGCTCCCCCGGTGGGTTGCGGCGCGCTCCCTCGGCGCCTTTGTGCTCCCGCCGCTCGACTCTACCCCCTCAACCCACTCCTGCGACCACCGACCTCCCTCGACCTCCCGTGCCAGCTTCCATCGAAATTTACACGCTCGGTCTCTGGGTTCATCGTGCGCATGCCCTTTTGCCAGGGATGACCGTTTCTTCGCCTGCGCCGGCCTTTCGCTAGCCCGTGTGGTCCAGCATCCCCCCGCTTTGCACCGCCTGCGGCCAGCGCATCTTTTCGCATCCCTCTGACACGTTTTTCTCGTTCCCCTTTGCTCGATACCGTGAAAAATGATGAGCGCAGCCTCTTTCCAACCCCCTCTCGGCGGTCGTCCGCCACAATACCGTACGCCGTCGCCGCCGCGACGCGCCGTCGAGCCCATCACACCTTCGACGGTCGAATTCCACACCGCATGGACCGAGCGCGGCGGCCCTCGAGCTGCCAGCTTGGATGGCGACCAACGTGTATCAACGAACAATCGGACCGGCGCAAGCGGCAATTCGCATCACCGTTCGGGTCATGGCCGCTCGAGCTCGACCATCGACACGCTTGCGACCATCGCCCTCGCGACCAGCCCGACCTTCACACCTCTCCAACCACAACTTCCCTCGCCTAATCTCGGGTCAGCGATGCCCTTGTTCCCCACCGACTCGACAGACACAGAACGCCCCGCGAAACGGGCCCGGTCGGAGAGGGACGTGTCGCCGTATCGCATCCGACCGAACCTACCCTCGAGTCCACCCCATTCCACCCTTATCGACAGCATGAAAACGGACGCGGAGCTTCTGCTGAACCTTGCACGCCCCACCAATTTCCAGCCCGGTCATACGAAGCGAGTCAGTATCGGCGAAACCTACCACTACAGAAACGACGCTGCGCGTCACACTCGAGTTGGCTTTTCCGGTGGTGGACACGGGAGCCATAATGATGTGAAACCGATTTATGAAGACCATGTCCCGCCGTCTCGCATGAGATCCCGCTCGGATGGCTCAGCATTCATGTCGCGCCCGGTGATCCGCGGTGTCCGTCCAACCACCAGCTCCGGCTCTCTCCCGCCCATTGTCTGGGAGGATGAGAATGAAGACAATGTGTGGCATCCACCAGCAGGCGCTCCTGAATACCCGAGCTACGGCGACCACCCATGCGCCGAGTACCAGACCCCTAAATCCATGGGTCCGCCACCGAAGGTCGAAGAGGAAGAGGAGAATGATACGGGCCAAGCAAGCTGCGCCGCATGCCACATGGTGCGGATCCCGGTTGAGACCGAGGAACAGGAAGAAGACACATGGATAAGCTGCGACGGTTGCAAACAATGGTTCCATATCGTCTGTGCTGGTTTCAAGAATGACCGGGAGGTTCGCACGGTCGACAAATTTATCTGCCGTGGGTGCCGCCCCATTTATGGGCAAACCACTTTCGTACGCAAGTCATCGCGAGCCCGCACGGCCATCGACTACGGCAGTCTCAACCAGGGCCTGGTCAAGGCGGCTACCGATTCCTTGGAACACCACTACCTCGAACCTATTCGCCAAGGCAAGATTCGATTCAATGAGGAGAACTTTCCTCGGATGAAGCCGGAGTTGGTCACCGCGGAATATTTCGAACGAGGCAATGGATGGACAGAACCTATCGTCATTCCTGCCTGCTGGAACACCCGCGAGTCAGTTCCCGAGCTGGATTCCAAGTTCGATGATCTTGTCCAGGAGGCTTCTTCTCAGGATGTGTTTGACGAATTGCTCGAGAACCTGCCTGAGCAGGAGACTAGCGTCGAAGACACCGTTGACTGTGGCCAGGATTTGCTGGATATGGTGATTCCCCAGGGTCTCACCGTCCGAGCTGTCGCCGAGCTCTATGGCCCCGAGGAAAGGGTTGAGGTTATTGACGTCAAGTCTCAGCAGGGAGAGGATAAGAGGTGGAACATGCAGAAATGGGCCGACTACTACGAAAGCACCGAATCCAACAAGCCGGTCCGAAACGTCATTAGCTTAGAAGTGTCACAGAGCAGACTGGGCAGGCTCATCAAGCGGCCCAAGGTTGTGCGAGACCTTGATCTGCAGGATGCTGTTTGGCCTGAGGAGCTCAAGGCGGTTGGTGACTTTCCAAAGGTCCAATTTTATTGCTTGATGTCTGTCGCCGATTGCTATACCGACTTTCACATCGATTTTGGTGGTTCTTCCGTCTACTACCACATACTGAAGGGCAAGAAGACCTTTTTCTTCATTCCTCCAAAGGATAAGCACCTGAAGAAGTATGAAGAATGGTGCAACTCCCCTGCCCAGGACTCGATTTTCCTTGGGAACCAAACCAAGGAATGTTATCGTGTGGATCTATCAGAGGGTGATACTATGTTGATTCCGTCTGGATGGATCCACGCTGTGTGGACCCCGGAGAACAGCTTGGTGATTGGCGGCAACTTCCTCACACGCCTGAACTACGGCATGCAAATCAAGGTGCTCAACATCGAAAAAGAGACCAAGGTGCCTAAGAAGTTTCGGTATCCCTTCTTCCAAAAGATCCAGTGGTATACAGCATTGAAATATCTGGAGGACGACCCAGTTCCTCAGAATGTGCTGGAAGCATTCTTGCAGGATGACAACTACCGCTTCCACCGGAATTATCCTCTCTACTATGAGTTCGGAGAGCGTTCCAACCAGGATCTTGCTGGTTCCCCGTACTATAATGCGCGTTTCTACTCGCAGGCAGAGCTGGAGGGTCTACCTGAGTTGACCAAGTATCTTCTTCGGACGGCGCTCATCGCGTCCTCCTACCTCGTCGACGGTGTGACCATGGAGGTCCGCAATGCAGTCAAGCGCTCTATCCCGAAGAGTGTCGGAGACCCAGTTGATACGATCAGAAAGTTCGGCATGTGGGTAGCGTGGAAGCGTGGCAACGAGAAGGCTCCGCTGTGGACTCGACCGGGTGTCATCGAAAGCAATCCCAAGGTCTCCCTCAACGAGAAGAAGTCCGCAGGGCGACCTAGTCGCCGCTCCGAGCGCACTGTGGATCACCAACAGACTTATGCTGAAAGACAAGCCGTTCAACGCCCCTCCGAGGAAGTGTCTGAGACGCTCAGCCTTCCACCCAACAGCAGTGCTTATGTGCCCTCAGGCAGTGCCACTCCCGTCCCAGTTCAGTTCACTTACGATGTCAGTGCCAAGGAGACCGCACCTAAGCCGCGTACTATTCAGCGGGGTTCTGGCCTTGGCCCGAAACGAGTTGCCTGTGACGCCTGTCGGAAACGACGCATCCGCTGTCGCCACAAGGATGAACAGAACGAGTTGATGTTGGGCAAGCAAATGGCAGTCAATACGTTCACGCCCGGATCAGGTCTGAGCACTCCGTCCTCTCTGGCGCAAGATGCCGTCTCGGCATTGAATTCCCTTGCAGCAATTGCGTCTCAAGCTGGATTTCAGAACAGCCCCCACCTGGTCGGCCTTGATCGGTACGATGGCTCGGGGATGTTTCATTCGACGGCCATCCGAAACTCCACGGCAGACATCAACCAGTTTAATGACGGAAGTCCTGACGGGACGAATGGTGGGAAAAAGGGACGAAACAAGGCATGTGAAGATTGCCGCAAGAGCAAGCGCCGTTGCATCCACGACGAATATGGCCGGATTGACCCGATCAAAGCCCAAGAGCGGTCGAAGCCTCGTGCTACTGCTTCTACAAAGCGAGTTCGACCTGCTGATGAAGATGGCACCCCGGTCACTTCCAAGAAAACAAAGCAGGAAAGCATTTCACCCACATCACGTCCAGCATTCTTTGGTCACGGCGAACAAAAGGACTTGGGGATGCAGGCCGTCCCGAAGGGTGTTGACGGCAACGAGCCTGCCAACCACACTGCCAGCAAACTACCGGCACAACCGGGGGCGATCACCAACCACGTCTCGTACGTCTCACCACCTGGTTTCCAAACCGAGGACAAGGACTCCATGGCTATGTCATCGCAGCCCACTGCATCTCTGGTATCACCGCCCACGTCGCTGGCCGACGAGATGGACGTAGTCCATGACAGTGATCTCATGGCGTCTGTGGAAGGCGAGGTATCCACCGCGCTTCACACGCCAAACTCCAACTCTCGCCATTCGTCTCGTCAGCCCCGATATGTCGATCGATATGCGCCAGAAGCTCCCACAAACCGAGTCTCGAAGCCCGCGAGTCGCACAACCACCGCACGCAGAACCACTCCTGCTCCGCCAGCTTCGTCAAAGAAGCCTTCATCTCGCCCGTCGTCGTCCCACGCTAAGAAGAGCTCTCCGATGGTTGAGAGGCGGTTCAATCGTCATTTCGCTTCGTCACTGTCTCCGCGCCAGTCGGTCAAGCCTGCCAAAGCCGGCAGCCCAGAGGAAGACCCAGAGGAGAAGAGTTTGCGTCTGATCCGGGAACTCCAGGAGCAGGATTTTGGTCTGCGAAAACGCTCGACGCGAGTCTAGTTTTCTGCAATGTTTTATGATTAAGGGAATGGGGGAAATTGTTTAGGATTATCAAAGACTTTTCAGGGTGGGCTGGAATCCGGAGAAAATCGGTGTTTGTGTGTTTCTTTTCTTCGTCTCATTATCGGTGTTCATTTCTATTTCTATTCTCCCTGGGTTGGGACCTTTCGGATGGAGGAGTTGGTTCTTTTTCTTTTTGCATTGAACTTGATTGACTCTGTTCTCTCTCTCAGTCTCGTTTCCCACTTGCTTATCTGACTTCATTTTTTCCACTTCTTAATCGACCCATCCTCTACTATCCTTATTGCCTCTGCTTTTTTTCCCTTTTTCCCTTTCCTTACATGCAATGACTGGCTCTGACCCCGCTCACCCCCTCGCTAATGACTTTTTTTCTTCGTCTCCTTTGTATCGTTCTGCCTCTCCTAGCGTTGCCTTTCCTATCACTGTTTTTGAGTCTCCCTCTCTCCCTTGTTTTTCAGTTTTACTTTGCTTGCTTTATACATGGGGCCAGGCGTTGTATTGTGCTCTTGATTTTGTGATGTTGTTTGACCCTGCTTGTGTGTCTAGTTTCTCACTTTTTTACTTTACTTTTTACCATGCTATGAACTAGGTCTATCATTTACATTCGTGTTATTTGTATTCCTCTGTACTTCTTCTATCTCGTCATCGGCGAACTATAGATTCTGTGTACATTCTCTACTACGTGTTTTGTAGATGATCATGGCGGTGGGAGTCAACCCCACAAATAGTGGTGTCCTTATCGTTGTTTCAATATCTCGCAAAGGAAAAAAACAAGACCCGGTCACAGTCACGAGATAAGCAAGAGAGGGATGAAAAGACAGCCAAAGCGCCAACGATATAAGATCACGCCGAGTCCAGACGCGCTTCCAAGTATAACATAAACACATCAAAATCAAGCTCATAATCTCATTCAACCATGGGATCTAATAAGTCGCAGTTCTTGCATGATGGGATGCTTTAACTTTGAACTCCGGGGTTGATTCTATAGGGTTGTAGGGGGAAGAGGGGATGGGGTATAGGCGTCAAATCGTGATAGGGGTGACACGCAAGCAAGCAAGCGGCAGCGGGGGTTAATTGAAGGTGTCAATGGCAAGGGCAAGTTACTCTCCTGGACCGACAGATTTCCATCGAGGAGCACGCTTGCCCCGTTGGATCCAGTCTCTGATCACGCAGGGGGCCTTGTCGGGGCCCTGGCACACTTTCTTGCGGTTAAGGTGCTTGAACCGGGGCCCGAGGGGCCCGTTCACGAAGTGATACTGACCGGCAAAGCGGTACTGGCGGGAGTCGCCCAGCGGATAGAACTTGTCGCCCCAGTGGCCTTTGTAATAGAACCATTCGGTTGGCGCACTAGGACTGACGGTTGATGCGCGGAGAGTGTCGTTCTCAAAGTCGTAGGTGTAAGAGTGTGAGTTGAGTAAAGGATCCCACAGCGGGCCTCGATCGGTCACATCGTGCAACAGTCCCCACGGTAAGACATACTCGTGTACTCCCGCTGTGGCATACATGGCATGGCTGCCCTCGGCAGAGTAGATCACAGGCTGCCAAAGAATTAGTATGAGCTGGTATAAAAGAGCAGTGTGAAACCCACCCGTTGTCCGACCTTCTCCACTGCTTCGTAGCTGTAGGCCTCACCGGCGGAGTGGGCGCTGAAGAACATTGCTTTGGGCTTTCCATTGTAGAACCGCATTAGACAATGCTCCCAGTCGCCCACATGGTTGCCAAATCGCACGTTGACTACCGTGTTGCCCAGGTTGAAACTGTAGAAGTAGAACCAAAAGGCGTCGACAACACCCTTGCCCTTGTCCATCACCAGCAGGATCGCCGGGGCATCGCTGCGACCGCCGCCCACCGCTTGGGCATGAATCTCTTCGCCGCCGTATCGTTTGCGGAGTTCCTCAATGATATGGCCCGCTAATGGCTGTTGATCTTCCGTGTTTTCCGGACGATGATTCAGATCGAACCACTGGGCCCGATCATCTTCGGAGACCTCGCCGTCTACCCGATCATCCCAGTCTGCCCACAATTCCTCCACCTCTTCTTCTTCTGTCTCTGGTATATTCTTCTCGCCTTCCAGCCACGGCGGGCGGGTCTGCACATCATCATTACTGGTCAGGAACACATACCGACCCTTTTCCCACTGGTTCAAAGTATCCAAATTACTCAAGGTCGGATGGTCCCATTTTGCTTGGATCGGAGTGTAATTCAACATCGGCGTGGTGTGGTATACGTGTTCTGCAATGTCGCCGGGCCAGAACTGTTCTCCAGAATAAAGGTGGACGAGTGGGGCATAGTCGAAAACATAGTCGGGGATCTGCCGCAGCGCCCGCTCCTCGGCATCCCACGCGCGCGATCGATTGGCCCCACTGGTCCAAAAGGCCCGCCAGGGTTCGGACCCGGTATCATTGGATGCTGGCCATCCCGTGGCTGGATCGCGATATCCGAAAGGGCCATCAGCAGGTTGGAAATGGGCCACGCCGCAGAGACTGAGCCAGCGACAGGCCTTGCGGTCAAGCCACGAGCGCGAGCTGGCTATCCAGCTGGGATCGTCGCGGTCCTCCTCGTACCAAATGAAGGCCGTCGGGTTGAGCGCACGGGCTATACTGTTGATCGACACATATGCGATTAGGCTCGTCAGGACCGCAATGGTCGTCTTGACCTTCCGGGCCATCTGCTGCAGCGAACTGACATAGACGGTCAACTCTGTCGGGCGCGAGGCAGCAGCACAGGGCTCATGAACGACGAGCTCTGCAGTGGTGGTTCCAGTCGAGGCCGGGTGGTCAATAGAGTGCTCGGCTGGTATGGTCGCGGCCGTTGCGCATTCTGCAGGATCTAGAAGGGTAGGACGAGCGACCACGAGAACGAGCACAACGCACAGCAGGAGTGCGGGCGGCAGGCCTATAAGAAGCCATTGGTTAGACCAGAGTTTCCGAATCCAGCCAGCCCATCCCGTGAGCAGCAGAAAAATTAAAAAAAAAAGGGTTCGACAGGAATTCAGAGCAAGTCAGACCCTGAGGCCGGGAACGTGCGGAAGCCGGAGGGCGACCAGAGATGCCGAGCCGGATGCGATCAGCGCTCCCTTGCAGTCCTGGACACCCGTACAGAGCCGGAGGGGGAGACACGAGGAAAGAAAGAAACAGGCTTACCGGATGGCCTCATGGCGACGGAGGGATGACTGATTTGTCTGTTGTGATGGGATGGAGCGAAGTTGGCAGGAAGTGAGCCAGCGGTGACTTCACCCGGGACAGGAAAGGCCTTCCGTCAGCCGGCCAGGGCTCACCGCAGGGGATTCCACGGCCGACGAGGGACCGTATCGCTCCGGAGGGTACGGAGTGCCGATAGAGGGACTAGGAGGAGTTGACCTAAAGCCTGGGCATCGTCATTCGTCGTCTGATCTGTTATTATTTACATACTTCTACTTTCTGATTCTCGTCAACCACACCCAGTGGCTCCCCACGGGAGTGAAACGCCGCATGCGGGGCTGACTCAGCTATCTTATCGCTCAAATGTTTGCTTGCTCTTGTGATTGACAGGTCCATGTTCCATCCCTGCCATCGCCACCATGGATGACGAGTTCGAGTATGAGTACCACGACTCCGAGACAGAGGTACGTCTGCATTCTTGCTGATTCCGGACTTCACTGACGGCCCCAGACCTTCTACCTCAACCTCGACCTCTCCTCCCACCACGGCCCGCTACGTGCGCCTCGCCGCCGCCAGCCCGCGTCCTCCTCGAACGATGCTCCCCTTCCGGATGAGAGCAATCCTACCTCTGCCAACAATGACCTCACCCCCCTCGACAGCGCTGAAACAGAGTCCCTGCCGACCGAGCAGATCCAGATTCTCGGTCTCCACACCAGCAATCCGATTGTCTCATACCATAACCAAGTGTTCACCTGCGCCTGGGCCGACCAGATTGGCACCGAACTCGTCTTCTCTCATCCAGATCCAGATGCCGACCACCACACGGCTCCTTTGCGGACAGGCGAGTCCTTTGAACTGCTCGCCGCCAACAGCGTGAAAATCCTCGGTCGCAAAGCGAACCTCACTTCCAGCTCGGGAGGAGCAGGCGAACAGAATCTCGAATCCCACCTCTCGACATCCGAGTCTACCCCACGGCTACTGCCCCGCCGAGGCGCTGCACCCACGAACCAGGCCCAATTCCTGGAGAGATTGCAAAATATCAAAGCGGCCCGAGGCGAGACCGACACGGTTCGCACGGTCATGAGCACGCGGCGCAACATGAACCTGGGAGAGCGGCTCAAGGGCTGGGCCCGGACCGAAGAGCAAATTGCGGAGATCCAACGCCTCAATGAAAAGGCGAACGCTGGTGACCTCGACGCCACGGCAGCACTCGAGAACTTGTGGATGCAGCTGCAGATCAGTCAGCCCGAACCCGGAGCTGCCGAGGAAAGCGCATCCTAGGCGGCGCCCGCTAGGATCTGAGGGAATAAAGCACCATCTCCGATTCTGGCCTTATCTCGCTCAATGGCTCGCGGTTCAAGTGCGCTCGAAGAATTGTTTTTTTGAAGGATTCCTCGGCTACCCGCATCGCACATGAACGACCAAAGGTACGAACCACCTCCCCGGCTGTCATAGTGCTGGACCGGAAATACCTCGGTCTAGAACCTTTTTCCGTTCTACCGACTGCCCACGCACCACGGATGTTGATCGGGCCATTGATCAACCCACCGAGTGCTATCAGGTCGGTCCCGAGGACAAGGAACCAGGCGTTCATTCAGCATGCATCGTCATACCATTTGCACCATGCAATGCCTATACGCGCACTTCCCGGCCGCCAAGGGCCACTTCTCCGCCAGGATTGTTGGAGTTGGGAAGACCCCGCCCCACACAAAATTGCCCTGTAAACTAATCCATGTGATGGATTTAGTATGAAATTAAGTTATCTCATTACAGTCGCACAACGTCATGGGCAGAATGTCTCCAAAATTCCCATCATCTGTCCTGTCCACATTACGGGGAGCGATTCCGGGGCGATTTCGGGGCAATACTTGATCCTTTCCTCTCCACTGTTTCCAACAGGGAACTAACTCTTATCACATCACACGCGACTCGCATGGTTCGTGTAACCTTCTCCGCCTGGTTGTTCATGACGTCGTGATCGGCGGGTGTTCTTCATATGGACCGGGGCTATCGCGATTGTTTCTACAATCTGTCTAACGGGATTTCCTCATTTGTATATGGCTATCCTTCTTTGGAAACTCTGTACTCGGCACGTAGTGCTCAGTTCCTGCATCGGTCTGGGTACATATCGAATCAATTGGGGTTACCCGACCTACACATACTACTTGCTGTACTAATAATGGTGATGTAATATCTTGATTCCCGCCGGAAGAACGGGAGAAAGAAGGAAATCATCAAATAATGAAGACTTTTGTATTATTCAAACTCCGAAATAGAACATCAAGGGAATGAAAGCCTTGCAGAAAAGACACACACAAGGCTGAAACAACGCACATATCGCCATGCTCGCTAATGAAGTAACGCCACAAAGAAAGAAGAGAACACATCGTCCATAATCTATCCCACGTGTAAAACAGGGACGTTGGGGTTTAGTGTATGCTTGATGGCTCGTCGAAGAAGGAAAAACAGCCGAATTAGAGACCCAACCAGTCAGGAAAAAGTGTTGTTACAAGCAATAGCATAGAAGTATCGGATAGAGTCAAGAATGCACGTCGGACTTGCTCTGCTCGTCATGTATGTCCAGATGGCGATGCTTATCGTTGCTCGCCATGTCGATGTACGAGGGCGGTGGCGAGGCAGGAAGCTTGATCTTTTCGACGACGTTGTAGTAAGGCGAGACGTAGTAGATCTCGGTCGACTCGCCCAGCGCTTTTCTGCTGGACTGGAGCGGGAACTGTGAGAAGTCCTCGTCCATAGTTGGGACAGGGTTTATAGGTGTGCCGGGGCGGCTGGCGACTGGTGTAGGGAGTTGACGGGCCATTTTGGATGATTTTGGAGTAGAGAGAAGAGGGAGAATTGTCTGTTGATTTATGGTAAGTTGGTGTTCTCAAGGGTGTGGAGTCGGGTGTATGCTTTTCTCACGGACCTCGGCTCGAATTTGTTGAGCGATTGCAGGCGTTTCTGGAAGACCGGATGGATTTACAGATCGCTGGCTATGTGCATTGAATTGTTAGTGCTTGTTCGGTGCATGCTTGCGAGGCATATGGCCTTAAACTCCTTTTCCGAAGTTGCCCGAGTGCGAGCTTCGGCGGTATACGGGGCTTGGGGCCAGGTATGATGTAACGAGCTGAAGATGCTCGGAGAGGAGCTTCGATGAGGAAATACTCACATGAAAAGCGGCTCTGAAGGATGAGATGCAGAGAGAATGTGTTTGGATGTATGGAAAAGAGAAGGAGAGGAAGAGGGAGAAGAGAGGTAGATGATAGATGAGCAGGTTGGTTGTCCAGCAACGAACAATATCCTCAATAATAATAGTAGATGCAAGAGCTAGTTGCAGGGGGCAACAGAGTACAAGTAGGAGATCGATAGATGCAAAAGAAAAATAGTCGGCAAGGTGCACGGGGCGGAATATAAGGGCATTGTTCAAAGGTACTACTAACAGACAGACTCCCACATCCCCGGCTCCGCGATCTCCTAGGAGATCTGCATTTCTGCCCTCGGGTAGGTAGGAGAGAGTCATGTCCACATCGGGCGGAACCCCATCAACACGACTAGAGAGCGAGGGATCAGTTCTTCTCCGCTCCAAGCGTCAAGGGGGCCGGGGAAAGGATGCCGGGGCTAGCGTGGAATCATCCTGTGCTTCTAGGGGCATCCACAGGCCCAGTCTGGCGGGTCTACTCCATCCACTTTTTTGAATTTCTTTCGTCGGCCGTTGCCGTTGCTACCCCCTATCATCCCCGGATTCATTATTCAAGGGGGCTTCCCCTAGTCTGGCCCAACTATTGAAATAGAGAACACATTCCTGCGGAGACCGGGGAGTTTGGGGCTCCGCATATCTCACATTCTTCGGGGAACTCCTTCAGATCCCGGCAGTGCAAAGGTCCAGGCCTGCGTGATCGGCCATCCCTGTCTGGGGAGGAGGACAGGGGAGTGGCGGTCAAGAAACTTTTCATCAACAGGACACGGTTATTTATTGTTGGCTATTTATCTGGAACTGGGCTTGGCAAACAGGCACGTAGCGTAGATAAGCATCCAAGACGGTATATGTTGTACTCCGGACTCCGGGGAGAACGCATGTAACCCAATACCGGGGAAGGTCAATGGACCCCCTATTAAGACATCCAGGAATTCGGAATAGGGCGGGGAGTGATACATATAATATATATATACCTCAGGCAGCACAGGAAATCTCCTGTGAATTTGACGATGAATATAGGCTAAATCAGCAATACATATTGATTCCATTGACCTAAATAATACACGAGCATAAGCTATTGTTAGCGAAATATATAAACAAATCTATTGTATCGGCTACCATACTGCGAGCAGTATATTTCGGCTTCGGGGACTGTGATCAACCCCCCCCAATTGCTGCGGATGGAGCATATTCAAGAAAATAGGCGGTTTAAAGAGCTCCAGTCACATACACAGCATTCCGGTTTCACTATTTGATATACATAGACGAGCGATTCGCCATTCAATTAACAAGGTATAAATCATATATTTACAGGGCACCCTCATGCAGACTTATCCGAACAGATACTCCTTCCAGCTCATTTTCCAGGGCTTCCAAGTCCCGCCGAATCGATGATTGATACACGCCTGTGTACTCTCAAAGCTCTCAGCTCCACTATGCCGCTGGCCATTGCCCCAGGCATTAATCGGTAGCACACACAAACCACCAAACTCCGCCCCCGGTAGGGCTTCCGAAGCACCGGCGCACAGGGGCTGTTGGATCCCGTGGAAAGGCGCCCACGTTACGCGCTGCAACTTGGTCCGTGATCTGGGGAGGACCAGATCTCCGAGGCCTGCATCTTCCTTGACCGATTCAAAGATCAACGGATGGCTGGGTGGCAAGGTCCGGGACATCACATCGAGAATGGCGTCGGTGAAGACGCCCGGCCCCGTGACCTCCAGAGTGGTCATCTCGTTATACCGCCCTCCAAACCAGCTGTCGTCGATATGTTGCTTCGTATGCGACAGAACCCGGATCACCACTTCTCGCAGCAGCGGGCTAAATCGCCGCGGCGCGTACATGGTATACTGGAGGAAACCATATCGGCGGGCCCAGCGCCAGTACTTCATTTCTTGGTCCGAAGCAAATGGTTCGTCGATCTCGACACCAACCACAAGGGAGACATCGGGGTTCTCAATGTCGAAAATCGAGTCCCGCAGCGACGGACATTGTTTAATGGGATGTTTTGGGAAGACATCGATGTCTGAGTAGTAGCCGCCGTAATACCAGAGGATCAGGTACCGCAGGAGATCGCCGCGTTGGACGTAATGAGGATAGGAGTGGTATAATCTGGCTAGCCCGGGGATGGACGCGAGGGTGACGGTGATGAAATCTTCAGCCCATTCGTGGGAGACGAGCTATGATGTTCGGAGCACAGTTAGCGCAGAGTTCTCTGGCGGGTCCATGCGATTTCTTTACCTTGTAGGCCCAGTCATCATTCCGCTGCTCCAACATGAACGAATCATCCCCGCGATGCTCTGGATGAGCCAGGAGAATTTGCCAGATGGTATTCGGGGCTCCCCCCGCGCTGTCCCGGGCCAGTTCTTGGGTCTCGATGTCGCGGAAGGCGTTGGTCAGCGAGAGTTCGTAGTCGGTGTCTGGGTTTGCGCGGAAGGAGGAGTGATGCCAGTATCGAGGACGGTCTGCTGGGTAATCACGATCCGCGTGCAGCATGTTATTCAACTCAGGCAGACAGTGAATCAGCATGAACACGATCTGGATTGCCAGCAGAATGACAAATTGAAATCGGCGTGGAAACCATAATAACGGCGTAGATGATCCCCTCAGCATGATGTGGACGGTGAGGCCATGCTGGGAAAAATCTGGGATAAAAACCAACCAGCCGTTTATGTACAGGCAGCCGGGCAGGCCTAACTGGCCCCAAAAGAAAGGCTGTGTTGGCGGGTTTGGACCCTTGGCAGTCTGGGTGTGACCACTTAGATGGGTTCTCACTACATACGCGTACCCATGTAGGTATCCTAGTCTCGTCCGTAAGTTACCGGACTGATTAGGTATGGCCTCGGCTAGACTCAAATGATACCATTGATCCTCGACTCGCGGGGCCCATAGATGCGGGAGCAAGCTTACTATAATTGAGTCCGGAGCGATCCCGAGATATATTGGACCAAAAGCTGCAAATGGGCAGATTCGAAGATTCCTGTTCTCTCTCGTCTCCCTGCCAAGATCTGAATTGTGCGGTTGAGTGCCGAGTTTGGGGGCCAATTCAGAACTAGCGCTTACGAGTCTTCGGCTAGTGGTAAAGGGG